AAACAAAGCGCTGATAAAATTCTAGGCAAGAGAATGAATTTAGTATCAAAACTACACGTATTTTGTGTTAGTTCTCGTTTAAGGCAGTTTCGATTTCGTCTTGCAAAAAGTTTTGTTTTTTTTGTTCAGTCTTTCGTCTATATAATAGTCTTATTGTTAGTTTCGTGTGTTTTTTTCGTCTTTTTCGTTTTATTAGCTAAAGAAATTTTTTGTTTATCAACCCTTTAGGGTTGTCGGAAAATCTTAGAATATCCAAAACCAATCCGAGAAAGCTAACAGAAAATCCTAGGTTCAGGTGGGTCCCGACCAGAGGTGGGTCGGGATTCCGATTTTCGATTTCCGACGTTTTTTTCCTTCCGATTTCTGAGTTCCGACTTTTTGAGCCATTTCCGATTTCCGACACCTCTGACTGTTCCAACACACCTCTGGTCCCGACAACCTCATTCATAAATGTGCTTAGCAATAAGAGTTTTTGTCTAGTTCTGTTCTCGTTTCTTATGTTTATTTTTGTATTAAGTGTACTTTTGTGTTTCGTTACTAATTATAATTTAGGTTCTCGTTTACTTTTATTTCGTATAATCGTTCTGCAGTTTTGTCTCGGCATTCTAACGATAAGCTTTAAACAAGTCCTTGAAAATTTAGTATTCTTATAAATTCAGCTCCTCAAGTTACAACAATTCCAACTCCAACAAAACATCATAAATCTGCAGAAATTTCTAAGGCCAATCGTGTATTTCATCGTTTTGAAATTGTATTTGGAATGATAATTATTGTCGTCGCATTTATGACAAATTTTTGGGATTATTTTTGTATTTGAAGAAAAATTGGAAGAGTTTAAATAATTAAAAAGAAATTTTATCTCTTTTTTACAAAATTCCTATTAATTTCTCCATAATTATTTTACTTTAAATAAAATTTATTTTTACCCGCGCCATTTTCCTTTTCTTCCAATGTTATCATTTGCTAGCATAGCTGTCATTAGGGGGTGTATAGATGGCGAGCCATGGCCATGGGGAATTGAAAAACTTGTTAAAACCAAAAATTCCCATTTCGTTGCCTTAAAACCAAAAATTCCCATTTTAATGACCTGAACCCAACAATATTAATAAAGTTTCAAAATCTTTAAAATGTTGATCTTACAAAAAACGTCGCTATACTTTATTTGATCTAAAGTTTTTTGTGTGAACCCTCATTATTTCTGTCAGGATGATTCATCCAGCAGCATTTAAAACGCTTAGGCGGGGGTTAAACGATCTAAAAAGGAAAAAGAGATAGTCGATGCCCCGGTAGCTCAGATTTAGAGCTCCTGCATATGGTGAGCGAAAGCGCCTAGCAACAACTAGCAGGTGGTCGCAGGTTCGAATCCTACCCGGTGGCTAAACTTTTGCAAACTCTTTCTTTTCTAACAAGACATCCAATTTTATATTAGGACATGTGTTGATGGCCGACTTAAGAGTTTAACACGACAAGAGAAGATTGAACATAAAAATAATGAACAAGATAAAACATTGGGTTCGCATGCAGAGCGGGTTAGAATTTATATTTAATAAGTCGTTTTATAAAAAATTGTATTTACAATAAATCGAACAATTTAAGTTCGTTTTCAATAGTGTTGCACTCCAACCCCGTTCCCCGTCCCCGACACAATTCGAAAACCCAGTACCCCGACAGACCCGCCCCCGAGCGTTCGGGGTGCAACCCTAGTTTTCAACAACAAGTTTTTAAAAGGACCAGAACTCCCCGAATACTTAACCAAAAATTCTCAAATTTTGGGATCTATTAGAAAACACTAAAGAATGTGTGTCCAAAATTTCACAGATTTTGAACAGTTAGAATAAATCATATAAATATTTTAACATTTAAAGGATTTTATGAAACGACCTAAATTTTGATTAAGACACTTCTTTTGAAAACTTAAACCAAAATGAATTTTGAAAATCGAGAAATACTCTTAGACTGAGTTTTTGGCTACCCTGAATTTAAAATTACAGTACAAATAATATTTAACAATTTTTAGTTGAAGAATAAAAACAAGCGGATTGAAGAATTAGAACAGAAAGTAGAAAAACTAAAAAAACTAGAAGCAAGAATAGCACAACTAGAAAAACTTGAAGCCAAAGTACGTAACATTGAGGAAAATGAGTTACCTAGAATAGAATTCAAAGCAGATGATATTAGTGAGAATGTCTCAATAGCCACCTATTGCAACTATGGATTAAGCCTTTCGGATGGTAAATTTTTTTTCCATTTCCGTGTACAAAGTTCCATTTTTTGATAATTTTGAACTTTGTGACTCGCATGTTTTCTTCCTCATCACATCATAATTCCTTGCTTTCTCAATTTCAACCTGTTTCCCTTTGGCCTCCTCAAATAATAGATCTTAGAAAAGGATTAAATTTTATACACAAGGATAAAAAAAGAGATGGCAGAAATAATTAAATTGAGATACATTAGCGCATTTTTGTTCAATTTAATTGGTCATTTATGTGCCTTCTGAGCAGAGGTGGGTCGGAACAGTCAAAGGTGTCGGAAATCAGAAAAGCCAGAAATCGGAATTCAGACCCACCTCTGCTTCTGAGGAAGAAAAAAGTGCAAGTCAAAAAGTTATAGATTGCCGAGTTGTTTCGTAATATGAAAAGGTTTAATTTACTGCCACATATGTGAATGAAAATTTGACTATTAGTACTGTTCGGCAAATGGGTATTTTCGGTAAGCGGTATCGGTGATACAAAAAATTACTGTTAGGTATTATCGACAAGTACCGCAGTGTTACCGTTCTGGGCATAGTTCCGTAAGTGTTAGAGAGATGTAACCCCCTCTCCACCAGTAAACAGCTTATTTAATAATTGCGAAACAATTCTGATTAAGTTAACGAAATGATATTTAACAAAACATTTTAGAACATTCAGTTCCAGCTAAGTTACCATGAATATCCTGATAGATGCTACTAGTATAGACATTTTAACCCTCCTTTCCACCGTCGGGAATTAACCTATTTGTAATTGCTAACAATTCTGATAATTATTAAATTAACGAAATGTTATTTAATAAATCATTTTAGATCTTATCAGCGTAACGAAGAAAAACATCATACGTGGAAGTATTGATGGTGGTGCTACAATAATCGCAGCAGTGCCTTTTCTTGGGCCCCCACTTGTTCCTTTTTATAATCATGTAATGATGGTATATATAAAATTCTTGGAGAAAAAATGCAGAGATGCGAAGCACGATGGTAAAGACTGGGACTTTGACGCAACCGATATCGTCAATATAATTGATCCCAAAGATGTGGACAGAATATATAATTACTTAAGTACAGCTGTCAAAGACTGGAATAAAACTTCAAAAAGAAGGGTTGCAAAAATTGAAATGATTGTAAATAAATTAGCACCCCTTATAAAAAAATTGATTCAAGATCTGCCTAACATCATTGGACTTGACAACCTTGCTAACATTGCCAAAAAAATGTTAGACATCATTGAGTCTCTTAAGGATGAGTTTGGCGAAACGGGCGAAACGGTTCTAGTAGATACCGTTGAAATAGTACATACGGCAAAAACGAAGGGTTTATTAGCTGGGGCTAAGAAATTGATTGAAAAAGCTAGTAAAATACCGGGAAACATAGTAGAAACAGTAGAAACAGTAATTGGGTAAAGATTACGATACCATAAACTCTGTGTGGTTACACTAAATACATAAGTCCCTCCTCCCTAAAAATAAAAAATTTTATTTTGCGGATTTTTTTGCATTAAACAAATTTAACATAAAAGCTTTAAAATAATGGCACTTGACTGAAAAAAAAAGTCGCCCTCTCTAACAGTCAGTTTTTGGAAATTTTAAATTTGCTCGTACTTCGGACACAATTACGAGTACGATATCAAAGTAAATCCTTATAAGTATACATGTGGTTTTTCAGAAATAGTTTTCCCCTCCAAAATTTTCCTCCATTTAAATGAAAAAATATATAGAAAAATATCGAAACTCAATCGAAGCTATTAAAATTTTAAAAATCCAAATTTTCTTAAAAAATTTAAAAATCCTAGGTCTAACGTAAAAATTGCCAAAAATCGAATGCCAAAAATCGAACGTCGAAAATCAAAATTTCGACTCGAAAAGTGCCATTATATATTAAAGCTTTAATTGTACATATCCTAAATTTGCAAAAGAAAATTATTTTAAAGGAAAGTAAAAAAATCCGCATTTAACCCCAGAAATACATAAATTGTAAATGAATTTTGCATATTCTGAATAAAAAGATGCAATTAAAATATTGTGTATTTTTTCAAATTTTAGGGCATATTACAAATTTAAAAAAAATATTTTATAAGCTAAAACCCTGTATTAACAAGAATTAAACAAAAATTCAGTCACCGGGCCCCCCGGAAACAATAGTGAATTTTAACTTTAAAAGTCTCTTTAAAATCCTCTATTATCCCACACTTCTTTAGATGTTAGACGTAGAAGAATTTTTAATTTACTTTTATTAAAAACACGAAATTTTAACCTTTTAGGGAGGAATCAGACTTTAATCATTGTTTAAGCTCAGGGAAATATTAGATTTGAATAATGAAATTCGATGATAACCTAAGGATCTTTTTAAAACAAACTTGTAATTAATCAATGAGAATGAGTTCAAGAAAAGAATAAATAAAAATACCGTATATGCTCAGATAATCACCCGAATAATTACTAAAATTGACAATGATTTTTTTTTCATTTTAAAATTTGTGTAGAAAAAATAGGGGCTAATTATTAAAGAGGATAGATATTTAAGGGATGGTTTATAATTATTTGAGAAAGGATTAAATGTAAAACCTCTAAACAGAATCATAAAAATTCAGTTTAAAAATCAGTGCGACGAATTCTTCAAAATAAAAAATATACAATATCCCAAATGACAAAATGGTCAAAAGGGCAAAAATAGACAAATAGACACAGTCATCTAAAAGTCTCACAGAAAAGTTGCTCAAAAAATATTCCTTCAGATTTTTCAATTCAGTATGGAAGAAATAACACAATCAATGATGAAGGATCTTTTACAGGAAGACGAATTTAAGGTTTATATTTATTTTTAAATTTTTATTTTATTTTTCTAAAGAAATTATGGGTTGATTTGGCCGTCGAAATTGAAAATAAAATTCAAACAAAACATTTTTCTATCAAAACTGTGCATTCTTCTGTTCCAAATTTACCAACTTCTTGTCAATCTGCATCAAATTTTCGTTTAAATGAGCCACAAATTGACGCAACTTTTGCCAAAATTTACAAGGAAATGGCTGTTGGGCTTGATTTGGTTACCAAAAATTTTGTTCGAGGAGGTTAAAATTTTTTTCTAAAAATTCTCCTCCTTTTAAAGTTCATCTAGCCTATTTTTCTGACGATAAAACCCAACAACAATCAAATTATTTTCGCCATGAAGCCTCTTCCCTTTATTCAATTCAAGTGATTTTAGAACGCTCTATTATTTCTAATAAATTTAATATTGCACAATTTGGTCTAATTTCTCGTAGAATTATTAAAATGCAACAACTTTTTGGTGTTTACACTTCTATGTGAGTTTTTCCTCCCAAAAATAAATTTGGGGAAAATTTTGATTTTTTGGTGTAGTGGGATAGTGCTCAGTTTTGACTTGAAGGGGGTCGAAGGTTCGAATCCCTTGCAGGGAAAACAATTTTTACTTTTGGCAAAAGATTGTTTTTAACTAAAACAGTCATTTTTATAGTTTTTTATTTTACAAATAAGCCCTTACAACGTGGAGAATTGTACTTTTTTGGCAACTACACTTTATACAATTCACAAAAGATTTTTTGATTATGGAAAGTTTTATGAACCAGAAAGTACTAGATGTGAAGAGGCGAAAAAATTAGAAAGTGTTATTGAACGTTTTGGAAAGATTGTATGTCTAAGACTTGAAAAGGTTTTTATTTTTTAAGAGGGTTTAATGGCCAAAAAAAATTTTTTTAAGTTTTCCCCTCCAGTTGGAAACAGTGATAGGCCTGTTGAAAAAGGTTGAGTCGAGTTCCAGATCGGGTTTTCAAATTTTTTTTGAATCATGGTTCGGGTAGAAACGTCTGGGTGGCAAGTTTCGTTTAACCAAGTCCATCCCTGGCTGGAAATACCATTACCCTTGATTTTAATCTCTATAAATTGCCCCTTTTAACTAAAAGAAATCATCACGATTTTATTTTAAACAGATGCTCTTCTCTCTTTTAAATAAGCAAAAAATATTACCCAAATCTCAACCCTTTGTAAATTTTATAAAGAACGAATTCTGTGGTTCAAAATCTTCTTCAGACACTCAAACACTTCTAACTCGTATGTGTAATTTTTGTAAATAAATTTAAAAAAATTTTTAGGCTTTCAAGATTGGAGCCCAACCCATCGAAAAGGGTTTCTTCTCTCTCCAGAGTTGGAATATTCAAAAACGAGGATGGCTTTAGTAAGGAAACAACGGCCGAGTTCTATGGAGGTTAGAGGTCCTCGACGATCCCACCCTCCTATTCATGGAAGGAGATGAATCGTCGTACCTATGTTTGCTCATCCACTTACATATCTTCCTATTATCCAACATTAAACAAGGGCTTATCAAGGGTCGGATTTCAGAGAAGGGCTAAAATGGGGTGCAGGCCCGTCCAAAATTACTAAAATTTTCGCCAGCGGCGCTAAAAATCAAAATTTTGATTTTTATTATGTCCCCAAAATTCCCCCCCCCCCTCCCCGAAAAAAAAATCCTGGATACGGGCCTGATGGTGTGCCAAAATCCTGGCGTCCCTCCCAAATACGGCCCTTTATAATCTCAACCATTTTTTTTACTAATTTGGAATTGATAACTTAAATTTTCATTTTTTTCAATTTTATTGTATAAGCACTTTTTACGACGAGGTTAAATAAAAATTATTGAATTTTCCAAAAAATTTTCAATGGCTTTTATATCCCCAAAAAATTCATTTACTTATGTTTATTTTATTTAATATCCATCTCTTTTCATTCCGCATCAATATCCCTTTGTCGTCCTCCCAACATTGCATCTGGAATTGGCGGTGGTAAAGAAACTGGTGTAACATTAACCCTGTCGTTGTCTTCTTAAATTTTTAAAAATTTAGAGGACTTTATTTCCTTTAAATAACCTGGCAAAACAAGCGCTAAAACAATCGGTTCATCAGCCCGAGCATTTTTTGGGGTAAATCCCGCTTCTTGAAGAGTCTGCTTTTCGTCTAGAACCATCCATTCTGTGCGTTGTTCATTTGGAGGTACTCGAAGTGATTGGCTTTTTGGAGGAACCTGAAAATATGTGAATTTTTTAAAAATGTTTTCCCAATGTTTAGTAGGAAAACACAAACTTTTTGGTTGACAAGTAGGGGTTTCCTGGTTTCAAACCCGAACCAAGCCCCCAAGGATCTCCTGGTCGGTTCTGGTTAACCGGAAATTCCGCGACAACCCCATTAACAAGTCACGCATTGAAAAAAAGATTTTCTTAAAATTTCCACAAACCTTCAAAATAACTTCAATCGCCATCTTCAAATCTGCTGCAGTCCAATTCTCCCTAGCTTGTAACATTATATGTTGCTTTCCTCGGCATACCTCAAAGTAGAGTTCTTGAAACTAAAATAATAATCAAAATAATTTTTTAAAAATTCAAAATAACCATTATTTCTATCAAACTGACGTCCTTCTTTGGAAAAACAAAATTTAAAATTTTGATAAAAAATTTAAAAATAAATTTATTGTTGCTTTTTAGACAAAATTATTAAAAAAATAAAATATATAACGACACTCTTCATTTTATTTGACAAAAATTTAAAAAAAACAAAATTTCTAAGAAAAATATCAAGAGGTCGAATTAATAATTCTTTTAATATAATCATAAAAATGGGAGTCGGAATAAAATTTTTTTAAAAGAATTTTCAAAAACTAAATGACTTATTGTTAGGTCTATTTAAGGGAAATTTAACTTAAAAATTATTTTGCCTAAAATTACACAAAATTTTTAGTCCGATCCCTAAACATTAAACTTAAAAGGAGTTTACTTTCCAAAAAGAAATTAATTTATCCACGCATTAATTATCTCCCTTCCCTCAAAAAAAAGAGTCGGAAATAATTTACAGAGTTGGATGTGAAAAAATTTTTTATTAAACGGACACTTGAGATTACGTAAGGTAAAAAAAACAGACTGCGGAGAAGACTTACGGAAGGTAAACGTACACCCTTTCATCTCTTCTCAACCTAGTGGCCAGGCCCGTAACCAGGGGGGGGGTGAGGGGGGGGAATTCCCCCCCCCCCCCCCGAAATGGGAAAAAGGAAAAAATTTGGGGAAGGGCTGGGGCAAAAAAGTGAATTTTTTTGGCCTACGGCCTTCGAAATTTTCAAAATTTTCGCCTGCGGCGCTAAAAAAGGACGAAATCTGGCTTCTTGAGGTCCAAAATTCAAAAAATTTTCGCCTGCGGCGCTGAAAATCAAATTTTTGGCGCCTGCGGCGCCGAAAAAGTGAATTTTTTTGGCCTACGGCCTTCTAAAATTAAAAAAATTTTCGCCTGCGGCGCTGAAAATAAAAATTTTTGGCGCCTTCGGCGCCAAAAATTTGGCGCAAGCAAATTTCCCCCCCTCGAAAAAAAATCCTAGTTACGGGCCTGCTAGTGGCCACTCAAATTTTTAAAAAAGGCATCTAAAAACGAAAGGTATCTAAAATCGTGTCTTCATACAATTGATCAGCAAATTGAGTAAGTCTCAAAGCCGAACAATAAAACCTATTTTGGCATCCTGCCGTTTAAGGGGGCCACCATTCTATATATGTAGTACAAGGTGGTTCAAAAAAATTATAGTCTCATAATGGTCAGAGAACGGTGGCCCCCCTTAAACGTCATGAGTTCCCCTATTTTCCTAACAAGAGATATTTTCTAAAAAGACGGACTACGGAGACTTACGGAAAGTAAACTCCCCTTAACTAGAAAAAAAAAAATATTTTCTTATTTACCGAACAAAAAAAAAGAAATTTTGTGGAGTGTTGGGGGTGTCAAAACAATCATATATATTCATTATATGAGCTCTAATCTCCAAAACAATGTTTCCAAATCCTTTCTTCGACAATTCAAAAGACGGTTCCCTCAGCCGGTTGTGAGAGCTTTTGATTCTCCTTTGCAGTCATTAAATGCCTAAAAATTGAATTTTTAATTTATTTTCAAATCAAAATTCAAGAAAAAACCTTCGAATGTCTTCAAGCACAGTCTTTATTGAATAAGAACTGTTCCACTGACGTAATGATGGAACTACACGTTTGTCCAACTAAATTATTTTTAAATTTTTAATAAAAATATATTTCGAGATTGATTGAAAATCTTCAATTTTTACTTTTGCCTACTAATTAATCTAAAAATGAATTTTTCAAGTTGAATCTTCCCATAAAATCCCTAAGGGAAATTTTGCACCCTGAAGATCCGAATTAAGGACTTTCAGGGAACTTGAAAGTCCTTAGAATTTTTTTGTTCCCTTAAGGTTTGTTTTCCTTTAGTTTGTTCCCTGAAGGTCCTAACCCTATTTATTTAACAACATTTATAAAGAATTCCAAAAAAAATTCATACAAGAAATTTCCCATCAAATTACACAAGGAAAAACGTTGAAAGTTTCTTTCGAAATGCTAATTTAAAAATTTTTTTTCAAATTTTCTCAAGCGGTAGGCAAAACTTCCTAATAAAATTTAGAGGTAATAATCAATAAAGTCTGGGTATGGGCCTGACCTAATTTTCAAATTAACTGACTAAAGCGGAATACAAGGCCTTTATTCTAAGAGATATTCAGGTAAACCCTAAGCTTAAAAAATGCCGTCTCAAAAAAACAAAAATAAATACCAATCCATTCTGCTGACTAACACCATTCAAATTTATTTTTGTAGTAAATCGAACAATCGGCGGCTCCTTTGGATAATTTGGACCACATTCAACCCGCAAATTATAAATTCTGCCTTCATAAGGTGTCTAAAAACAATTTTAGAAAAATCCAAAAATAAATTAAAAAACCCTGCTCGGCCCAATTATCATTCCAGTCCATCGAGACAACGCCATATCATCATCGTCTTCAAGTCCCCAAGATATATTGCCGTCACCTTTGCCTTTTTGTCCGTCTTCTAATTCCTCTAAAAGTCGAAAATTGCGAGGAACTTCAACTGAAAATAATTTGATTGAATTTTAAAATTTTTGGAAAAAATTAACCTCCAGCCATAACAAGTCTTTTCTTTACAACAAATTATTTTTTCAAAAAATCTGAAAAAACCGAAAAGAATTTAGGAAAATAAAAATTAAAAAAATAAAAGAAAGCTACTTAAATCACGCTACTAAAAACAACAAATTTAGTCAAAAAAAACTTGTAAAAGTACAAAAGTTTCATGTAAAAAAGCAGCTGACAAAAAATTTATTTGGATAAAATGTCATCCAAAACAAAATGACAATTACAATTATGAACGGGCATAAATTACAGAACACAAACTCTACCAAACAAATCGAAGTGTGGTATAAGGAAACATTAGTAACTCCATCGATGAAATGTTTTTTTACCTAAAACATAAAGATTTTTAAGTGGAAATTTATTCAATAAATTCCATAGATCAAAATTTCCTGTTTTAAAACCGGTCGTGTCCAACCCTATAAAAACCATTTAAAAATTTTAATTTGAAACAGAGCTGCTGAATATATGAGTAATTTTCGGGACTTATTTACTTTAACTACCCACACAAAAATTTTACCGGGAGATTTATCAGTTATATTTGGACATTGCATATGTCAATCGAAGGAGCACGACGATCTGAGTCGAATGGTACAGAGTCAGCTTGATTTGGCGATTTTGAACAAAATTACAAGCAACGCTGACGTCCAACGCCGACGCCCATGGGTTTGCTTTAACCATTTGAGCCTCTTTGTCTCGGCGCAAACTTGAGAGTGAGGGCTAATTTTGATATCCTTCGAGTCGGCTCGTCGAGAAGTTTTGGTTGACATATAAATCGTCCATATCAAAAATCTTTTGATAAAATTTTTGAGGGTGGGTAGTTAAAGTAAATATAAGTTCCTAATTTTCATTATTTTCTCTTCTTTTGATCAGTCCAAAAGTAAAAATATATTTTTAGATAATGGATCCAACTGCCATATTTTGGTTTATTTATTCGTTTTATTCTGCTACCTTTATTTGGAATTTTTATTTAACTTTGCGACAATATAATGTTTATCGTAAAACTGAAACTAGGCCAGAGGAAGTTTATGAAATTATTTCTGAGGAGGATTTTGGTTATCATCGAAATTATTATTTGGATAAATTGACCTTTGATTCTTACAAACTTGTGGCCCAAAAAACTTTATCTACAGTTAGTTTTCATAAAAACTTTTGAAAATATTTTTTAGATAATTCTTTTTTGTAATCTGATTCCTTGGCTTTGGTCAATTTGTGGCAGATATGGACTTTTTATAAAACCAGAGAGTGGGGAGGTTTTTTTTCAAATTTTCGTGAATTTTTAAATTTTTAATTTTTTTAGAGTTTTCAATCCGTTCTTTTCATTCTTTTTTATGCCTTTATTGAAGGACTGATAGAATTGCCTTTTTCATATTATGAAACATTTTATATTGACTTGAAGCATGGAACTAAAAATGAGGTTTGTTGAAGTTTTTAAGAGGCTTAGGGCGAGGGTTTGTCTAGAAGAGAAAATCATCGCCACGGTCATCGCCGCGAGACTCGCATTAGTTGACATTTACTAGTGTAAGACAGCAATTTAATTCCTAAAGCTATACCGGAGACAGCGAGTGTAATGGATGATATCAGTCCGGTCAATTTAAGCTGCTGGTTCGCTCCCAGACGCCGAATAATTTTTTGCATTAGCTGAAGGAGGGGAATAGCTATAACCCATTTCAGATTTACTCCAATATCAGGAGGTAACAGGTTCGATTCCTGACAGGGACCAAACGTTTGTCTGCCTCTTACCAGTTTTATTCCAAAAATCAAATTGAAAAATAGTCCAACAATATAATCCAAAATATTTTTTAGACTGTGTCTTTCTTCTTCATTGACCGAGCCAAAAAATTTTGTTTAATTCTTTTAATTTCATCACCTCTTGTGGCTGCTAATGCTTGGATTGTACAAGAGGGTGGACAATATTCTTATATTTATGTTTGGGCTTTTGTTTCTGTTTACTTGATGGTAAAGAATTTTATAAAAAAAAATTTTTAGCCAAAATTCAATTTTTAGTTGATGGCTTTTATTTATCCAGATGTTATTGCTCCACTCTTTGATAAATACACTCCTCTTCAAGAAAGTGAATTGAAAACAAAAATTGAGGCTCTAGCTAACAAAATTGGATTTCCGCTTAAAAATATTTATGTTGTAGAAGGTTTCTTAATTTTATTAATTGTTAACATTTTTATTTAAAAGAATCTAAACGTTCAACACACAGCAATGCTTACATTTTTGGATTTTGGAAGAATAAAAAAATTGTTCTTTATGATACACTTCTTGGCGAGGAAATGAACAAATCAATACAGGTTTAATACTAATAGGAAAGAGTGAAAGTTTAGCCCGGGTAGGCATCAATCCTGCATTTCATGACATTATTGTTAGGCATTTTGCTGACCACGTACAAATGCTCTACCGACTAATGTGAGTGAGCTACCCGGGGCACTGCTTTCCTGTCTTCATCTTCTCTTTTAATAAATGGTAAAACCCGCGCCTAGTAAGCGCTTTAAATGCTAACCACTTGGGTCTCCCTTTTGCCTTACAAAATTTTTGTGGTCTGTCTCAATTGTCAGTCAGATATTTACAAAAATCTCCTTAATGTTTAATTCGTTCAGGCTGACCAAAAAACCGAATCAGAAACTACAACTAAAACAAGTTCAGAGACATTTGAGGAGGAAACGAATTCAAAAACAACCAACAAAACCTTGGAGGGAGAAAGTCTAAATATGCAACATGATGAAATTGTAGCCATTCTCGGGCATGAATTGGGTCATTGGTGTGAGTACCATTCAATGTGGATGTTTATTTTTGCTGAGGTATGAGTTGAATAATTGGTTAAATCCGTCCATTTTTCAGTTGAATATGCTTCTTGTATTTTTTGTTTTTGGTTCTTTACATCAACAATCCAATTTATATTTGGCATTTGGTTTCCTTTCATCGGCACAACAACCTTCTCTAATTGGAATTCTTCTAGTCAGTCAATATGTTTTTGCACCTTACAATGAATTAATGTATTCGGCTGCGTGTTTTATGAAGCGTCGCTGTGGTAAAATTTTTTTTAAATTAAAATTGGATTTTCATTGAAATCTTTTTTAATTTAGAATTTGCTGCTGATGCTTTTGCAGCTCGATTGGGATTCGTCTCGCAGCTGAGCACTGGGCTTGTTAAACTGGTTTGGTTTATTAGATTATTTCGAAATAATCTTTTAATTATAGGAAGAGAACAATTTGTCGAGTCCTATCAACGATTGGCTCTACTCTGCTTGCAAATATTCGCATCCTCAGGTTATTGAAAGATTAGAAGTACTTAGGAAATTTATGTGATATAATTTTTTTTTAAATTTATAGCAAACTAATTTATACAAATTAAAAACGGGTAAAAATTCAAAAATTATTCAATTTACAAAAAATGTCGTTCGAATTCTGAATAATTTAAAAATTTTAACAAATTCAATGGTTAAGGTGGATTTGGAAGGATTAAGGGAGATAGAAAGGAAATACAAAGGATTAAAAGGATTTGGGGACATCAAAGATTAAGAGGGAGAAACTCTTGAAAAATCTTGGTTACGGGCTTAGTAAAAATATCGTTTTAATTCTTTAAATTATTCTTTTCATAAACCTTCTTTTAAAGTGTTTCTTGATCCTCCTCCAGTTTTAATTGTCTTCTGATTAGACGAATTTTTGATTTTATTGTATCCCAAGAAAAATAGCATCCAAGTAGATGACGCTCCCTTTCAGGTATTCCAATTAAATTATAAGCACTACGAGCATGAAGAATTCTTGTGTTGGCCCAAAGAACTGTGTCACCTAATTTTTTTTAAATTTTAAATTTTGGAAAGGAAAAAAATTTCGAGAGAAAGCTAGCGAAAATTGCTCTCCTATTGTGCCATAAGGCGAAATTAAAAATCCTTTTCCAAAAAATAAAGGTCAAGTATTTAATTTTCTTACCAGAATTAAGCGAGAAAATAAGTTGATTTTCAGGTAAATAGCACAATTCAGTGAACAACTTAAGTGAAGAATAAATATTTTGAACAAGTAAAGGGTCATTTGCAGCCATGTCCAAAAACCAGCTGAAAAAAGAAAATTTATATTTTTTTAAAAAATAATTAACCTTCTCATAACATTTCCGAATTGTACTTGTATAAGTCCAGATTCATCGGTTCTGTGATAAAAAAATAATAAAATTTTAATTAGTAATTCTTTTGATTTTTTCAATGTAAAAATGCCCCTGCTTTACTCTGTACTCTCTCATTCTAATAAGGATCCGAAAAAATTTTTCGGGTTAGTTAGACAATCCGAAGAGTGGTTAAACAAAGAACGAGAGTGTACAGCACTGGATGAGTGCATAAGAGGAAAATTTTGGAGCGAAAAATTTGGAATTTCTAAAAATATACTTGAACGTTTTATGCCTGGCTACCATAGAAAAATCAACCCTTTCCTCCTTGTCTTGAAAGCCTTTAACATTGTGAACATCATAACCTTCTTCGATAAATTCCAAAGGATAATCACTGAGAATTTGGTATTCTTTAGGGTATTTTAATGACATCTAAACAAATTATTTTTTAGAGACTAAATTTATTAAAAATAGACCTCTCTAGCAATAGAAAATCCATCAACAAACATACTTTTCCCTCCACCACATTCGGACTGTTTACACATATGAAGCAATTGAAGTTGTGGTGGATCTTGTAGAGATGGAAAGTCTGTGTGGTAGGGAAGTTCTCCAGTATTTGCATACGCCATGTTACTTGCATCCGGTTTAGGGCAGACTTCAAAAGTTTCACTTCAAAAAGCAATATTTAAAAAAAAGTAAAATTTCTAAGTTATCCCACAAAAATCCAAAGACGAACATGATAAAAATCCCGGCAATAATTAAGGATGGAGGGGATGACTAAGAGCTCTTACGCACTTTGAAGACGAGCGTGTTAACACCCCACCATCTAAACACGCTAAAGCAGGTGAGATATTTAAGAGCTACAAGACAAGAAAAAACATACCCAAAATGTGTAGGTTGTACCATTCCAATACGTCGAATTATACTTAAAAAAACTTCATTTCTTAGGTTTGGACCATATTCCTGCCCTCTGAGTACTGCAATGCCATCCACACAAACTGATTGTAGAAAATCATGTAATACCTGTGAAAGAAAAATAAGCCTTATTGTTAGATAATTTCTCGTTATTATATAACTTTCCAAATTATAAAGGCTCCATAAAGGACGAAAATTTTTTAAATCCGAAAAGTATAAACCAAAAAAACACATGAGAGTCCAAATCCAAGGTTTAATCATAAGGAAGGTGATATTTTGGGCTAACTAAAAGTCCCGAAAAACCACAAAAACGCGTTTCTATTAAAAGATTAAAAAATAAGCAAAATCCACCCCAATTAAAAACCTTGCTACAAACCACCCATTTATTTTTCTCTTACTTTGTCATCTTCCAAAAACGATTGATGAAAAAACTGGAAACGATTTTTGCTCGTTGGTCCCCCATCCTCCCAGAGACGAATGCATTCACGACCAAGATAAATTTGTCTTCTCTTCTCTATAACTTCTTTGCTGCCAGGGCAATGAGTTCTCAGCCATCTCTGTGTGTAACTGGAAAAATAGAGGATTTAGTATTTTATTAGAAAATTTTGAGGAAGGTAGGACATGTTTTTGGGTGATCACAAAATTTTTTTGGTAAATTTTTCTTCAAGTAATCTGACCAAAATTTGCGAATTTAAACAATAAAAATCGATAAAATATAAAAAATATTTACCAACTAACAACATTCCCCGGCCATTCAACAATTAAACCATTAGAATTCAATCGAAAACTGAGAGGCTCAACGTTTACATCAAAATCTCGCATAGTATGTAGTCTTCCCTAATTTAAAAATAATTTGTATACCAACCCTATTCACCGACACCATCCTTTTGCCGTTTATCCTGCTCCCCGACCTCTTATCGATTTTAACTGTGAACAGTTAACAGGACAAAAAGGCGAAAAGCGCGTCGGCAATCAGAGTTTCAGTTTAAATTTTAAAATCTATACCTTCATAGCATCAGAAATTACATAAGTTTTATCATCTAGAGAACAGTCTCTGAGCCAAACGTAAGGAAATAGTCTTTGTGATCCTTAAATAAATTTATTCAAATTTACTATAAAAGAAATACCATCTTTAAAAACCGCCTTAATAGCTCGTTGTTCTGGCACATCAGTAACTGATTTAAGTAAGTATTTTAAGTATGGAAAGCGCATAGCGCCTAGAAAAGTTAAAACAATTAAAAACGAAAATGTTAATTTTAATTTCAAAGTGTAACGCTAAAAAGCTAATTTTTATTTTTAAATTTGTTAAATTATGGATTTTTGGCATTCTGTTTATAATTATACTATAAAAGCCAAATTTACTTTTTTCATTAGTTTTCTTTCACTATATTTTCTCTGGGAAATGTTTGTTGAAAATTATTTTATTTCGTAATTTTTTGTTGGGGTTTTTAATAACTTATCGCAAGCGCTATATTATTGATAATACTTTTAGTTCGTGGAAATCAATTTAATGTTAGAAATCGCTAAAATTACTCAAAAACTCATTTTCAGATATTTTAAGTTTTATCGCTAAACCTCGCTCTAAAAATGGGAAAAGAGAAAATCCATATCAACATTGTTGTTATTGGTCACGTCGACTCTGGTAAATCCACCACGACCGGCCATTTAATCTACAAATGTGGTGGAATTGATAAGAGGACGATTGAAAAGTTCGAGAAGGAAGCTCAGGAAATGGGAAAGGGATCGTTCAAATATGCTTGGGTATGAGAACTTTTAAGTACCTTTAACTCTTAAATTCAGGTGTTGGACAAGTTGAAGGCCGAGCGTGAACGTGGTATTACCATCGACATTGCTCTCTGGAAGTTCGAGACCGCTAAATACTATGTCACAATTATTGATGCTCCTGGACATCGTGACTTCATCAAGAACATGATTACTGGTTTCTTTTGAGATTTATGATTGATTTAAATGTTCAATTTAGGTACATCCCAAGCTGATTGTGCTGTTTTGGTTGTCGCTTGTGGCACTGGAGAGTTCGAGGCTGGAATTTCTAAGAATGGTCAAACTCGAGAGCATGCTCTTCTCGCTCAGACTTTGGGAGTGAAGCAACTTATCGTTGCCTGTAATAAGGTTTCTTACCTCCTTTGTTTTCTTTATAAAATCAATATTTAGATGGACACGACAGAGCCACCATTTTCGGAAGCTCGTTTTGAGGAAGTCAAGAACGAAGTCTCCAGCTTTATTAAGAAGATTGGTTACAACCCAGCAACCGTTGCGTTCGTCCCTATTTCTGGCTTTAATGGCGACAACATGTTGGAGCCGTCTGATAAGATGCCTTGGTTCAAAGGATGGGCTATTGAAAGGAAGGATGGAAACGCTAGCGGGAAGACTTTGTTGGAAGCTCTTGACGCCATTCTGCCTCCAAGTAGGCCTACTGACAAGCCACTCCGACTTCCACTTCAAGATGTTTACAAGATTGGAGGTTTGATTTGATCTTGCCTGTGAAGATTGTAATGAAATATTTTAGGTATTGGAACTGTGCCTGTTGGACGAGTCGAGACTGGCATTATCAAGCCTGGAATGGTTGTTACCTTTGCACCTCAAGGAATCTCTACTGAAGTCAAGTCTGTCGAAATGCACCACGAGTCCCTCCCTGAGGCCGTTCCAGGAGACAATGTTGGGTTTAACGTTAAGAACATCTCTGTCAAGGACATCCGTCGTGGTTCAGTCACTTCTGACTCTAAGAGCGACCCGGCAAAGGAGACCAAGCAATTCACTGCTCAGGGTTAACTTGTTTAGCAATTTTTTTTGATTTAAACTCTCTTCTTTCAGTTATCATCATGAACCATCCTGGACAGATTGCTGCTGGTTATACACCTGTTCTTGACTGTCACACTGCCCACATTGCTTGCAAGTTCGCTGAGCTTAAAGAGAAGGTCGATCGTCGAACTGGAAAGAAGGTTGAAGACAATCCAAAGGCTTTGAAGACTGGAGATGCTGGTTTGCTTTCAACTTTGCTTCTTTTTGTAAAAATCAATTTTAGGTATTGTCGACTTAATTCCAACCAAGCCAATGTGTGTCGAGGCTTTTACCGACTACGCTCCTCTTGGACGTTTTGCTGTTCGTGACATGCGTCAAACTGTGGCTGTTGGTGTTATTAAGGCTGTTGAGAAGGTTGAAGCTGGTGGAAAGGTTACAAAATCTGCACAGAAGGCTGGAGCCGCTGCTGGTAAGAAGAAGTAAAGAAAATTTTGTGGAATAAATGATATTATTAAATATTGAAAAATCAGTTTTTTCCACTTGTTATATTCCTGTTGTTTCGATATATAAAATTGTTTGGATATAAAAATTGTTCATTTTTTTCTTTGAATTTGTTTAGTAACAATTTTTTATTTTTATGATGTTTTAAGTTTGCTTTTCGAGCTATAAGTCTTGTAAGTTCACTAACAATAAGAATTAAGTAGGGCCTAGATTTCTCTTATGACAGCGCAAATGGTGTCTTCATTACGTCATGTTTCTCTCTTTTTTGTCCGGCTCCAAGTCAGACGCGTGTTCCCATCCCATTTGTTCCTTTTCACGGTACGTAGTCCTCCTCTCCTTCTTCTAAATGGCTTTGTGCCTGCTCTGGATCCTTACAATTAGTAGATTGTGAGGACCAATCTCTTTACCTTACATGATCTAATATATTCTGTCCTCATTTTTTCTGTTTATTTTTAATGTTTGGACAGCGTTGTAAAGTATTTAATTCTATTTTAAATAATTTATTGACTCGTCAAAGAGTAAACCTCTTCTCATTTTCAAAAATGTCAGACGAAGCAGCAAAAGCGCAAACAGCAGCGCCGCCAAGTGAACCGACTGACACAATTTTTGGGAAAATAATTAGGAAGGAAATTCCGGCAAATATAATTTATGAAGATAATGAGGTTTATTTTTTGAAAGAATTTAAAAAATATTGGTGATTTTAAGGTACTCGCTTTCAAGGATGTAGCTCCTCAGGCGCCTACACATTTCTTGGTCATTCCGAAGGAGCCAATACCGTCAATGGACAACTGTGAAGCAAAAGTGGGTTTTGTTTTTAGCATATAGTGTAGGTTGGTGGAAACGAATTGGTCAGGGTTTCTCTATCAGGAATTGGCCTGAAAGGAAAAGTTTAAGAATTTTGGCATCAAGAGTGGATACTTACTATGTAGATTTTTTGTTAGAGGTCCTGAATTTTTCCCATTTCGAAACTGAACGAACGAATATAAAATTTTTTGGTGTAATGTCTTCCTTTTAACCTCCTCTTTTAAAGCCGATTTTCCCCATGAGTTCCCTATGTCGGGAAAATAAAAAAAATAAAATTCACTTCTCCCATCCTCTAATTTTAAATCCTAAAATTTTTTCATTATTTACAGCATGAAGCATTGCTTGGCAAGCTCATGTTGACAGCCAAAAATGTTGCTAAAGAACAAGGTCTTGCTGATGGTTATCGAATTGTTGTTAATAATGGACGTAATGGATGTCAAGTAAATTTTTTAATTTTGTTTTGATGATATTTCCCTACAATTTTGTAGAGCGTGTTCCACCTTCATCTTCACGTTTTGGGTGGACGCCAATTGGGATGGCCACCGGGCTGATTTTGACAAAAATTTGATGATAGGGATATTTAAGTTATTCTCGAAGAATTTTCTATTTTAAAAATAATTTAAAAATGAATTCCTTCTAGGGGAGTTTTTGATGGTTTTCTCTTAAATCTAGCAAAAATAAATGCAAATTTAATTTCAAAAATTTAATGGCAGTCAAATGAGGAAAGGACACTAAAATACTTATGTTAGAGATTTCAAAAATAATTCAAGATGTCAAAAAATATTGTTTAAATTAATCTCTCAACGAAGGAAAAGGTTGACGATGACTGTCTGCGACACTACGTCGACTTGTACTCATTCCAGTTTGACTTCGTCTAGGAGGTATATATTCATGGTCTACATCAAATTCGAATTCGTCAATAATTTCTTCATCGAGTTCTTGTCCGCAGTTTTGTCCGGAACATTTGGCTGGGAACTCCATTTCTCTGAAAATTTGGTTTTTAAGTCTCCACAAGTTTTTTTCCGCAAAAAAGAGATTTTATAGTTTTAATGCTTCCCAGTGTTTTTTGAGTCTATGAAATCTCCTGCCTGTATTCCCCTTGATAATTATGCGAAAGAGCCGAAAAATTAATCGAAAAAATAAGTCGGCCACTCATTCCATCTTCCCTAAACCCCAATAAAATTTTCTAGAAAAAATACCTCAGCATACAATTAGCATGATAACAAGACCCACAACCTTCACAAGTATAAGACAATCTACTGACAACAATAGGCCGTTTGCATAGAACACATTTTGGGACGTTAAGCTGGAAAAGTAGTGGTTCCATCTCTACCATTGCACATGGATGGAGTCGAATAATTGATTGATCATCTCCAACTTTGTTAGATCTTCGCTTATTTCGACTAGAAATTAATCAGAGAATTATTTTAAACTTTTTAAGCGAGGAAAAATTTTGTCCGCAAATGTCGTCCGCAAAAATTATGCGGATCCGCAAGCCTAACAAAAATAAATATACCTTAGATTATGTACATCTCCTTTCATTACTCTAATCCATCGTTGTTGTTTCCACAATTTATCTATCAGTTTTTGAGTTCTAACAGCAGTCCACCCTTTCTTTTTTGCAAATAGAAAAACTTTGTTTTGGCTCAATTCCCCGCCTGTTCCTTTCCTGGGTTCTTCACGTTGAGAAACATCTTCAACAGCAGAGTCTTCCTCATCTTCTTCTTCATTTTTGTATTCAAGAAACATTAATTTTAACCAAAAATGGAACATTGAAAGTTCATCTTTTTGAAGGGAACTGGCTTGTAAAAGACTTGGAGCAAAGTTTAAATCAGAGGCCAAAACCCAATATTCCATATTTCGAGAATATTCGTCAGCAATGTGGACAATATACATTCCTACGCGATGAAGCATTGGATCTATGGCCTTTCGAAGGGCTTTCATTGCCTGTCTGTTTTGGTCGGGGTCCAATTTGTCCAAATCTGTAAAAGGAAAATTATTCTCTTGTAAGTGCAGAAAGTCCGCAAGTTTTGTCTGCAAACATTGAAATTTTCAGATTTTCTGGATATAAGTTAGTCGAGGGCCTCCACCGAAATGTGATAAATGATATGTCAATCGATTCGTCTCAGCGAGCTGAGTCGAACTATGCCACTCTCTAGGTGCGGAAATGCCCGTGGACCGAGATATAGGTGCTACATCTCGGTGCTACAGCCGATTTCCATGTTAGCGCGTATAAAACCTGAGACTTTTACAAAAAAAATTAAAAATACTTCTTGTTTTTTCTTCGGTAGCGTCATCATTATTGCAAAATTCCAAAAAAGTTTCGCCGATTCGGGGTACCTGAGAGAAAAATAAGATAAAATAATAACAATTTCTACCTCAATACATCTACGTTGCATCATAAATTGCAAAAAATGTTTGTGTAAATTGTCATCATTTTTACAAATTTTTATAAAATCTTCAAAAGCTTGTAGTTTTTGTTGTGACATGGCTGATAATAAAATTGAAATTTGAAATTAACGCTTTAAGAGAAATAAAAAAATTAAAAGTTGTCAATAGTGCAAAATGGTATATTTTCTTCTAGTTGACGTTTTGACATTTGGTGTTTCGTAGTTTACAAAAAAATTTTTTTACCATTTCTTTAAATTTTGCGCAATTTTGAATTGATTTTTTGCTAAGATTTTTCTGTTAGCTTGATCAAAATTATTTTTAAATACATATCTTCTAATTTCGATCTTAGGTTTTGTTTCTCCCCATTGTGATTTCCTTTCATGTTTAAAAAACAAAAAAATTTGGTATAGCAAAATTTATTAAAAGTGTTGACCTCTTGGGGGGAGGAGGGGGGGGGGGTTATCTTCTCTTGAGGTATTTATCCATAATTAATTCATTTTACTTATTAAGTGACGTAAAATTTTTTTAAAATAATATTTGTATAATTTTAAAGAGTACTTTTAAAGAAGTAAAAATTAAAAAAAATTTTAATTTTGCTTAATATACAAAAATTAAATTATTATTTTATTTAAATATAAAGAGTTGTAGGGACGACCAATTCAATCTTCTTTTATTTATATTTGCTACCTAATTTTTGGGCTGGGGGGTTCACGCGTGGCCCCCTTAAATTTTTGTTTTGTCCATTGTATCTCGTTATAACGACATTCTTTGAGTCGGAAGTGAATGAATGTAAGATAGGAGGTGATTTGGAAGCATAAAGCTTTCCCTGTAATTCAATTAGTAATGAGACTGTTTTTTTGTTTATCGTTATTTCGGTAGCCAACGAAAAGATTTTGAAGTTCCTCGGCATTTTTCGGCATTATGGCACTGTATACGGTACGGAAAAACATATACCGTTAATACCGACCGGTGAAAATTCCAATGTTCTATTTTATTTTAAGAAAAAGGAGTGCTGAAAAATAAAGATTTCTGGCTCCTTGGCCTTCCAAAATTCTCACATTTCGCCTTGACCTAAGAAGTTAAAGAACACAGCAACATAACCCCCATTACCACATCAACTTGCCTCGTTCCAGAAATAACATTCCCCGTTGTCAATGGATTTTAAGATTTATTTTTAAATTTAATTTAGTTAAAAAAATTCATTTCCCTTTTACTTAGGAATTTTAATAAATTCCAAACTTTAAAAATTAAAAGAAAAATTTTTTTAAATTAGGAAATTTAAAGTTATTTTTGTACAAAAATTTAAACAAAGGCTTTTTTTTAACTCTTATTTGAAATATTTAATTTCGTCCAGTAACGTTTTCCACTTGTTTAAATAAGAATTAAAGTGATTTCTTTCTGAATACTTTATAAAGAAAAAAATTATAAAAAATTATTTTTAGAAAAATTTTTAATTTTACTCAATATACAAAAATTAATTTATTATTTTATTTATATAAATAGAATTACAATGAGGACATTAATTTAGATAAGTAATTTTCTTATTAATTTTTGGGCTGGGGGGTTAACGCGTGACTCCCTTAAGTTGTCGGTACGGTAGGATTTCCGTTTACCGTACCCCTTCGGGGTCGTATTGAACGAAGGTGGGAAAGAGAAATTGAAGTGAGTGGAAAGCTTCCATTATAATTTAAAATTAGGATTAGATGTTGGTTATTGAGTTGGTGAGGAGAGATTTTATCTTTCAAGCATCTCCAGAGCTTTTTCGAAACAAAAAAATCAACAAAAGTTAAAGAAAAATAACTTCGAAAATCGTCAATCAAAATTTCGAAACAGCTCTAATCTCTCCAGTGGTTAACTTAAAATTTAAAATAATTTTCGAGGTATAATAAATTTTCTGATATACTTTAGCCGGTGGCCGGGTCGGAAGCCCTTTGATTTATATGTCATTTGATTTGATATCTCGGCCCACAACTGTCTACACGAACTTAAAAAGAGTATTTTTACAGAAAAAATAAAGAATAAAAATAAATTTGCAAAATTTTTTTTTGAAAAAATTTCCATTTTACATAATATACAAAATTTAATTAATTATTTTATTTATGAAAATAAATTTACAACCAAAAAGATTCTTCAATCATTTATATAGCCTCCGTAGAATTTTTGGGTTGGGGGGTTTACGCGTAACCTCCTTCAATTTTTGTTGGTACGTTGGCATCTTGCTATAACGTTATCGTTCGGGACCGAACTGAACGAATGTAGCAGTACTCCGTACTGGCTGTCTTCCAATACTCCTTTAAAACACTTTGGTCTCCAAATCCCGCCCCCCTCAATTCCCCCATATTTCTGAAATTTTCTCTTAATCCCTTCAAATTTTCCAATATCCTCCTATATCTCTCCAAAATAAGCGTAAATCCAAAAAGTATTTTGCTCACACCAAAAACTCGTTTTTCCATTAATCAGCGCAATAAAGTTTATTATTTAATCAGTCATGCAAGAGCGTCCATGGTGTAGTGGTTAGCATTGCTGCCTTCCAAGCAGTAGGCACGGGTTCGATTCCCGTTGGACGCAGAAGCTTTTTAATTTAATTTTTATTTAATTTGTAAAATTTTTTTGATAATTTTTGTCTTAAAAACCAATTTTTAAATTTAATTTTTTAAAGAAAATACAAGGAATTTTTATAAAACGGCATTTTTGAAATATGTATATGTACTCGACAAATATTAAAAATAATTTTCAAGTCATTTTAGTTGTGAATAGAGCCTATTTACGGCTGGTAGCTATGTAACCGACTCCTAAACCTCACTTTAGAAAATAAGAGAGAAAGGTCAAGAATGAAACAAGTGCCACATAAATAAAGTGGAATCACCACCCCTTCACAACCACCCGCCTCGTATCCACCACATCCCCTCCCCCCTTCACCCCGCCTCGTATCCATGTACTTCGTCTTTTGGCCAGCTGTCTCTCTTTCCTTAAAAGGAAAAGCATGGCGAGAAAACAAACAATCGATGGAACATTTATGCCCAAATAAGCTTTACATATAAGCACCTTTTCTTGCTTTTGCCCTTTAAAAGCATTCATTGCTTTCAGATTTGGCAATAAACCTTCTCTTAGCACTCCTTATTTTAAAAGAAAAATTTAACGTTCTTCTTTTTTCGAGTACTTCTTCGAGAGCCGTTGAACACCTAAAAAACAAATAGATGGAGATTCTTTCAAATTTTAAATTTCCTTTGAAGTTCCTGCTCATGTCCTCTTTGTTTACAAATTCCTTTAGAGCTGTCCAAGACCTGAAATTTTCCAAGACTCTAGACCAAGATTTGACTTTGTCCCTATTTGGCAGCAAAGGTGGGTCGGAACAGTCAGAGGTGTCGGAACTGAAAAACCCCCAAAAAGTCTTGAGTCGGGTCTCAATACCAAGAATCTTGGATAGCTCCTCCTTATATGGTCAATTGGTGAAGGTTCACTCTATAAAATCCCACGGCTCTTTCTCGTACAATTTCAAAGAAGGTGGCTGTTAAAGACGTCGTTCCTATTTGTTAGCAGAAGTGGGTCAGAACAGTCAGAGGTGTCGGAAATCGGAAGAGCCGGAAATCGGAACTAGCTCAAAAGTCGGAACTCGGAATTCTGACCCACCTCTGTTTGTTAGTACTCGAAGTTATCCAAAACAAAAATTTTTCCCTTCCCAACAACAATAAACTAACTAAATTATTTATCTACCTAATTAGCTCAATAAATTATTAAATAAATGCATAATTCATAAAAACAATTTGTCACTTTCTATCAATTTCATGCCGCGGCGACCTTTTTAATAAAACCCAAAAGCTCTTTATAATTTTCCGATTTTTCTTCCTTGACATTCTCAAGAATCTTCCTTCTAATTTGTTTTCTAATTAATTTTTTTTTTGTTTTTCTTTATTTCTCATTTCCCCGATAACTGGCCAACCGTAAAAAGTTTTGTGGCGCATCAATTCCCTCCCTTAAAACAAACACCCCCTCCCTTCTACAGTTAATTTATTCTCTTAAATCAATTCAAATTAAAGCTGATTTAGTAGGAGAATATAGGAAACCCTTCTATTTATTCTAATTTTTCTGTTGGACGTTATTCTGTTTTAATCGCTATTTTACGATTTCCATCCCTTAATTAACTAAAACTCCCTACTATTAATTAAAAATCTTAAAGGAATTTAAATACCGACAAAAGGGGGGTGTCTAGTAATTAATTATGTGTACATATAAATATTTACTAAAGATTCTCAATTTTGTTTTTAATTTCAAAAATGTTGGTTTTCGACTTTTTATATTGCAAAAAATTATTTTTGAGTATTTACGTTACGTTTGAATCTCTCCAACACGTTGCCCCTCGGACAGATTTTACCGACGTATAAAAGAAAGCGACGTGTTAGAAAGAGATTAGAAACCGGACCGATACGAAGATATCGAACAAAAGTCTAGGTTATCGAAAATCAGTCTGATTCTCATTCAGAATTTCCCAGCCGGATCTCTTCTTAATTATAACAGCAGCACAAATCCAACGAGAAATCCATTGAAAATACTTG